CCGAAGATAATATTTGGAAACTTTTTGTCATAACACTTTTCATAGTAAAGCATTTTTTACGTCTATTATAAGATAAATATTTCGTTTGTTTGTGATACTTAATGAACATTTTCGTCTTGTATAACGATTTTGCATTAATGGATTTAAAAATATATAAAAATAAAAATAATATATAAAATAAATAAATAAATAAATAAATAAATAATGAATTAAAATACCAATAGCAGAACCGATTCATATAAAAACTCATACTTCTGATGGTAAATAGAACGATTTCCTGTTAACATCTCTGTTTTATAAACATCAATTAAATCACTTTTGCTGTACTATACAGGGTTAGGCGATTGAAATGATACCAACTACACACAGTTATAACTGTTAAACTGATATTGCCAACTACGTGAAATTCAAACGAATGACAGCTGTTTATATTGTTTACAAGTTACCACAAGCATTTGCGTCTAACTTTTATAGAACAAAAGTTAAACTTCCAAATGGAATTCAAACGTAATAGTGTGATTGTGTTATATTTGGCTGAAAAATCACAACCAGCTGTTGTTCGGGAGCTCAAACACCTCAAAGTGAATAAAATGTTTGTGAATCGTACCACAAATCGGTTTAAAACGAGGGCGGTTTTATAAGTCAATGACTTTTTAAATAAAACAAATTTTTTTCGGTAAATAAACATTTTATTTTTCTACATAATCACCTTTTAGCTCGATACATTTAGTCCAGCGTTTTTCTAATTTTCTTATTCTTGGAAACAGAAAATAGTCGCAGGGGGCTATATCTGGAGAATATGCTGGACAGGGTAGCAGTTCGTATCCCAATTCGTGGATTTTGGTCATCGTGACTAGACAAGTGTGCACACGTGCATTGTCTTGATGGAACAGCACTTTTTTTCAGGGTTCGTATTTGCTCACTCATGAGCAGCTCAGGCTCATGAGCAAGAGCCAATTCTTACGTGAGCCCAAAATGGGCTCATTAGCGTGAGCCCATAATTGGCTCATATTAAAGAGCTGCTCACCAGCGTGAGCCTTCAAGTTGCTCATATTGAAGAGCTGCTCATGAGGTCTCACGGGCAAAGAGCTCACGAGCTCAACTGTTTAATAAAAAGCGATTTACTAGCTTATTTGCTTTATTTATTTTTATAAACGTTATATGTAAAAATATATAATTTCATATTAAAACAATATAACGAAACAATAATTTGAATTTGAAAAACAAATTTATAAAATATTATTATTTTTCACAAATAAACAATAAAAATATATTTATTATTTATTTTAGGAACTTGATTATGTCCATATTTTAGTTAGTTCAAGGTTATTAATATTTTTAATCTTTTTAATGACGCAGCTCATGAGCCGCAGTTCATACTCTTGCTCACGAGCGTGAGCCCATTTATAACTTAATGGCGGCTATTGCTCGTGAGCGTGAGCTCTGTAGTTGGGCTCGCTCGTGAGCGTGAGCCATCGTATGAAAAGAGTTTTTTGCCGGCTCATGAGCCGTGAGCAGAATGAGCCGAAATGAGCCGCTCATGGGTACGCAAATACGAACTCTGCTTTTTTCTTCGCCAAATGCGGCGGACAGACTCTGTTTGGCTTTCTTTGGTCCACGTTCACTCCTAGCAACCCACTGTTTCGTTTGTTCTTTGGTCTCTGGCATGTTGTGATGGATCCATGTTTCGTCCACAGTAACAAAACGGTTCAAAAATTCGTTCGGATTACAGCTGAACATCGCTAAACACTCTTTTGAAGTGGTTACGCGATTGCGCTTATGGTCGAGTGTGAGCAATCGCGGCACCCATCTCGCGATTAGTTTTTTCATGTCCAAATATTCGTGTAAAATATGATGTACCCGTTCAGTTGAGATACCTACAGCATAAGCTAACTCACGCACTTTCACTCTCCGATCATCCAATATCATTTCATGGATTTTATCGACGATTTCCAGCATGATCACTTCTTTTGGGCGACCTGAACGTTCGGCGTCACTAGTGCTGGTACGACCACAACCGAACTCTGTAAACCACTTCTTAGCCATTGAAATTGATGGTGCCGAGTCCCCATAGTATTTATCAAGTCTTAACTTAGTTTCAGTGATGGATTTTTTACGTAAAAAGTAATACTTAATCAGCACACGAAATTCACTTTTTTCTATTTTCGTAAAAATTCACGAGGTTGTCTGCTTTGAACGGCTATCAAACACCAACTGAACGACATAGTTTGCTCAAAATTAGAAAGTTACCCACTGGTAGATTACAGCTGACGGCAGCACTGTTGCATTTGGAGTAACTGTGCGGAAAATTCAAAAAGTCACTGACCTATCAAACCGCCCTAGTAGTACAGGCAAAGTCGCCAAACAGTATAGTGGTGGACGAAAAAAAAACAGCAACATCAATATGGTTCGGAGAGTAAATAGTCAACTTCAACGAAATCCGCTTCATAATGATAATCAAATGGTCAAAGAACTGAAAATATCCCAGCAAAGCATCCGACGTAATTTCAAAATAAACCCAAGGTACAGGCCTACAAGTTCCAAGATGCACAAAAGTAAAATTTCCACATTGAGCAGTTCATACACTCTCAAAATGATCGTGTTTATTTAACTGAACGCATTGCCGAAAATTTCAAACTACGAATGGCCACCCGAAGTAATTTTCCATTTTAAGTAATGGTATAGGCAGCTGCGATTGCCGATGGACGCTCTCCAATCGTTTTCATTGAACCTCGTGGCAAAGTCAATGCGAATTATTATTGGAAAAATGTTATGGAAGTTGCTTTAAAGTCGTTGGCATGTAAATATTTCGGTCGTAGATCATAGACATTCCAACAAGACTCGACACTGTCTCATAAAGCTCGCGTGAACCAAGAATGGTTAAAAATTATGTTCCACACTTCATTTCGTCCACAGAATGGCTTTGAAATTGCCCAGATGCAAATCCGAAGGACTATTCCATTTGGGCGATTTGGAGAGCAAGGTGAGAACTAAAAAATATGCTAGTATGAATGCACTGAAGAAAGTCATGGTTCAGGAATGAAAATTTAAAACAAATTATTTATTTAAGGTGTAACAAAGCGTACATGGAAATACTAGTATGATATTAAGACATATGGAATATTTTTCGTCTAAATAATCTCACACATCCACATTAAAATCTACATATTGGTAAGCCAAGTTCTGGTCAACATGAAGTAAGGCGCAAAGAGCATCGTCGCTGACTAAAGCTTGTCAAAATTGTTCTCCATCTCTCATTCTCACAATTTCAATTAACATTAAAATCAACAACAAAATCATGTTTGACTGGCTATGAATGTGGCTACATACACATAGCAGAAAAAGTCTACGGATATCCACAAAATTTTTCTTAATTTTCGCATAACTTTTTTAATTTTTATTAAAATAAATTTTTGTTTTCTGATTTATTTCAACCAAAAAAAACAACAATGAAGGTTAAACATAAAAAATTAACAGTTATTCTTTAAAAAAAAATTAAACACAAATATATGCAAAGGCAAATTACATTAAAACAATTAAAATTCACAAAAATTTTTAATTTTATACCCTGTGGGATAACGTCTGCGTTTAATAGACTTTTTTAGGTGTTGTGGCGATTGCATATTCACCAATTTATATTAAAAATGATATGAGTTGGCCATGAAAGAAAATTTCTAAAAAAGCTAATGATATTTTTATTTAATATACAGGGGGATTGTCATTCTTTTTAGGATTTAGAAACTAAGAATAAAGCAACGGACATACGAAGTTAAATAATTATTTCTTGTTTAAATTAATAAATAAAGAATTAAATTAAGTAGGATAAGCCTACAGTGTCATTGCATGGACTCAACCAGCTTTGCAGTATCCTGTTCATTTATTTTTAGCCATTCTTCCTTGATGACGTTTCTTAACATATCTTTGTTGGAAATCGTTTGCGGCAAATCTTATTATCTAAATAAACCCACAGCTGTTCTATAGGACTAATGTATAGTGATTTCGATACTGTTTGAAGTTGCTTGGCAGCATGGTTCAGCAGCCAAATCCGTACGATTGCTGCTGTATGGTAAGAGTCGTTGTCCTGCTGAAACAAAAAGGTTGCCTCAAGCCCTAACATTCTATATTTTTCTTTTAAATTCGGTTTTAGTATATTTAGATACCCATAGTTATGCATTGTATCTTGTATAAATTCAAGTTTGCCAGCATCATTACTTGATATACACCCCCAAACTATTACGCCTCCACCTCCTTGATCCACCGTTGAAACTAAGTTTTGTTTATCATAGGCTGTACATGATTTTGTTCACACAAGTTTTCTACCCTTGATTCCAAATATGCAAAATTAACTATCATCGGAGAAAATAACTCATTTTCAGAATTTCATAGGTTTATTTACATCCTATTTTTAAATGATAAATTCTTAGACTCTTTAGGAAGTCAATTGATAATTATATATTATTTAATGACACATTTATATTTGTAAGCGAATTTAAATTAACGGTAAATGTAAATATTGAGAAATATACTTTTTCTGCTTTAAAAACTGTTGGTTTTCAATTTGACTAAAAGATAAAAAATCATGCGAAATTTCAGGTATGAAGAACTGGCATGAAGAAATGTTTTGAACAAAATATGTATATTGGAAAACTGATTCAAAAACCTTATTAAACTTCTTTTATTCAGGTTTGTTCCAGATGACGCAAATTTAAGCAAAAATAAATAAAACATTAACTCTTAAATTGACCTATTTTTGGATGTACAAGACAAATTGTTGTAGACGTAATCATTTTAAATAAAATTTTTTGCTAAATGAAAATGCAATTTTATATTACGAATTTGGAGCTTAAAATAAATATATTGAGAAATAAATTTTATATGAAATGTTAACATTTTACAAAAATTTTATACTTAAATATGGAAATAATTATTATTTAATAATAATAAAATTATTTAACTAGAATAAAAAAATAAATATTACTTCAAAAGTAATCAGCGCTTACCTTAAAGTTATCAGTTGGCATTGAAACAGAATTGGAATATGTTGTACTACTTAACAAATTTTGATTGGGAATATAGCTCTCACATTTTATAACTTCAGTTTCACGTTGCGGTGAATCTTGCGGTTGTAAAGTTGACTGTTTATTATGTAATTGTTGTTGCTGTTGATAATTATAATTAATTTTTCTGGCTTGACCTTTACTTCGTCGAAGAGTTTTACGTTTGTAACCCTTACCATCTTCGTTCTGCAACAAAACCAAAGAAATAAACAAATGCAAAGAAATTTTCCTGAGATACTAACCTTCACTAATTAGAAATAATATTTTACTACTCTATGTTATTATATACTTACATCCTCTTCCTGCGGTGTCCACACTGGATCTGTATCCGAATCTGCAAACTCGTCGGGCTCAGCTAATTGATCATCATTGCCGGCACCAGTTGAATGCGTCATCATAGTATGAATACTTGTTTGTTTGGCCTTACGTAAACATTGCTCACGACGGGGAGGTAATGAAAGTGGATCTAAAACATATGCAACATATGGAATTCAGTGACAGTTCGAAGAAAGCGGTACAGATGAAGAAATTGTTTTTTTATATTTTAACGTTACGGTATAAACTTGTTGAAGAAGAACTTAGAATTCAGTTACGTAAAGAATTTTTTATAGATCATAAATTTTAAACTCTTTAATATAATAAAAAAACTGACAGAAAACTGAAGATTACCCAAAATAACAGTTTTCGAAACGTTTCATAGATAGCATTTTTGTGGATTAGTATCGTGATAGGACAGTGAAGCGACTACCAACACTGCTGCCAATAATTCAAATTTCAAAGCAGAAAATATTTTAATTAAACTGTTGGACTTGGATTGGATGTAATTTGAATAACAAATTTATTAAACGTTTACGCTTGATGTTGCATTTGAAGTATTTGCAATATTGAACACTATTCGTAATTTATTGTTGTGGTTACATACACAAAGCGCTGCAAATACCACTTTTTTTGAGTGTTATTTATCTTACCAGGTGTACCGGTATGAAGCGAGCGTAAAGATACAAATGTTCCGACAGGGAACATTTGTTGTGAACGAGCCTTTATTTCTTTTTGTTTGTTTGCTATGACATGTGTGCAATATATTTAGTATACATCAAGTCATTGAACAGACAACATCATATTTTTTCATCGTGTTAAAAATGTCGAATTTTGTACCAGAAAGTGATGATTTGCGGAAAACATTAATTTTTTGTTTTCATTTAAAGAAAAGTGGTGCAGAGTCGCATCGAATGCTTGTCGAGGCATATGGTGATCATGCTCTATCAGAAGCAACATGCAAAAGATGGTTTCAACGGTTCAGAAATAATGATTTTGATGTGAGAAATGAAGAACGTGGAAGACCGCCAAAAAAGTTTGAAGACGCCGAATTGCAAACGATATTGGATGGAGATGACACTTTGGGTCAAAAGCAAATGGCAGAAATGTTAAATGTTGCACAACAAACAATTTCTGACCGTTTAAAAGCTATGGGAAAGATCCAAAAGTGTGGAAAATGGGTGCCACATGAATTGAATGAAAGACAGATGGAAAACAGAAAAAATACTTGTTAAATTTTGCTTCAAAGACACGAAAGAAAATCAGTTTTGCATCGGATTGTTACTGGCGATGAAAAATGGATTTATTTTAAAAATCCTAAACGGAAAAAATCATGGGTTAATCCGGGACAACCATCAACATCGACTGCAAAACCAGATTGATTCGGCAAGAAGACAATGCTGTGTGTTTGGTGGGACCAGAAAGGTGTGGTGTACCACGAGCTCCTAAAACCTTGTGAAACCATCAATGAAACCGTCAAAAATGCTGGATCGCTATGAACAACAAATGATAAATTTTAACCATGCATTGATCGAGAAACGACCAGAATGGGCCAGAAGACACGGCAAGGTAATTCTCCTCCATGACAATGCACCTGCACACAAAGCAAAACGGGTTCAGGATGCAATCAAAACACTTGGCTGGGAGCTGCTACCTCACCCGCCGTATTCACCAGACTTGGCTCCTTTCGAATACCATTTGTTTTCATCGATGGGACACACATTGGCTGAGCAGCATTTTGATTCCTACGAGGAGGTCGAAAATTGGGTGTCTGGTTGGTTTGCTTTAAAAGACGAACAATTTTTTGGCGTGGTATCCACAAATTGCCAGAAAGGTGGTCAAAATGTGTAGAAAGCAATGGCCAATCCTTTGAATAAAATGTTTTTTACTTTCCTATTAATAATTAGTGTTTTATTTTCACCAAAAAACGCTCATTTCATACCGGTACACCTGTACATCAATATCCGGTACATCAATATCATTTGTATGCCACTTCGCAAACTTCTTATCTTTGTCAAACTTACTTTCTTATGCTATAGCGTAATAATTTATGCATGGCAAATGATCGCTTTTCTATAACACCTTCGTATTTATTCATAACATATTTCGTAGTTTCGCTCAAAATGCTTTTATCACGTTCATTAACTTCGGATATAATAACCGATACCAGTTTCGTTCCGAATTTTTCTATTGTAAAATAATCGGTAACTAAATCATTTAGATTGTTAATTGAATTGTTCAAGTCGTCTTCACGACATACGAATACGTGCTATCAATTAATCAATTAAATCATCAATTAGAGGTATTTTTAGTCAGTCATCAATGACGCTGCCGCTTCTATCCAATTGACGTTCACTGATGCTTCGTATCGAATTCCATTTTTGTACAAGGATGCAATGTTATAAGAATAATCATTAATTTATAAAATTTATTAATTTAGTGAAATATTTATTGTAAAAAGAAAAATGTTTATTTTTTATTTAAAATACATTATATACACTTGGCAGAAAAACTCTGCGTACAGAAAGTAAATTTTGTTTCAACATATAAAAAATTACTAAATAAATAAATTTTTTTAATTAATTTTATTTTTTATTAGTACTTTTATTTGTTATCTTCATTTTAAGGTAAAAATTATTTCTAACAGATTAGTAGAAAAATTATAATAATTAAAAATGTAAAAAATCAGCGCTATCGGTGGCAGAAAAAGTCTGCGTACAAAACATATAAAGGGGAATTCCCGAAGTTTTAACAGTAGAATTTTGGCGTGCTTTATGTTTTACTGTACCAGTATATCATTATACACAATCCCACGCACTTATTTTATAATTTAACAATTAAAAAGTAATTAAATTTATAATGGCAAATAAAGGAAAAGAAATTATTATCAGTGGGAGCAGTATTATTATTGATCTATGGAAAATAAGGAAAATGTATCGCAAAATTGGTCAAATCGTTAAGCGTTCACATTCTTTTATCCAAATAGTAGTGAACAACTACAAGTAAACAGGATTATTGCCCTCAAAGTTGTGATCTGGGCGTCCATCCAAGCTGTCAACAAGAGAAACCCGCAGCATTATTAATTCTGTGATAGATAATCCTAGTCTAACTGGACTTCTGTTATAAAAATATATTGACCAGACATTCCAGAAGCAAATTCACGTGGATACTGTACACAAAATTTAAAAAAAATACCACTACGATGGCCGGTTTGCACGAAGCAAGCCGCTTATTTCCAAAGATATTAGAATGAAGCGTTTAGCATTCGCAAGGGAGTATTTAAAAAAGTCTCCAGAATTTTGGAACGCATAATTTTTTCAGACGAAAGCAAATTTGGTCTCTTTAGCATCAAAGGTCGAACACTTATATGACGAATCCCGGGTAATGCCTTTAATAATGAAGATTTATATCCAACAATAAAACACGGTAGTGGAGGAGTAATAGTGCGGGGGTGTATGGCGAGTAATAGAGTGAGAAAAATTGAATTCATTGAGTCGATAATGAATAAAGATGATCATTTTAATATTTTAAAATGCAATTTAAAGAGCAGTGCCAAAAAGTTGGGGTTGCAGAATAATTACTTACTTCAACAAGATAACGACCCAAAGCACACGGCAGAAGTTGTAAAGTTTTGGTTGCTTTAAAATGTGCCAAAGCAAATCAAAACATCATCATAATCGCCATATTGGAATTCTATAGAACATTTATAGCATTTATTGGAGCGTCGGGTACATGAATACAATATAACCTCCAAAGAAATGCTAAAGAACGTGAGCGACGCGGAATGGGGTAAAATAAGCAGCGATGAGACTGCGAAGCTGGTCAATTCGATACCAAAACGACTTATGGAGGTCATAAAAAGGAAAGGTTATCCAAGAAGTTACTAAAAACGTAAAATCTTTGCAAAAATAATATATTTTGACGCTTTTTAAACTCTTGTACGCAGACTTTTTCTGCCACCGATAGCGCTGATTTTTTACATTTTTAATTATTATAATTTTTCTACTAATCTGTTAGAAATAATTTTTACCTTAAAATGAAGATAACAAATAAAAGTACTAATAAAAAATAAAATTAATTTAAAAAATTTATTTATTTAGTAATTTTTTATATGTTGAAACAAAATTTACTTTCTGTACGCAGAGTTTTTCTGCCAAGTGTATGTTATTTCAACTGCTTCACACTTCGCTTACGTCACTACCTCCTGTCATCGGGATAGTGATGCAACCTTGTTACATATATATACTGTATTTCTGTAGACTGGCAGTAGACGCCGATTCCAACTTTTCCTCGGATTTTAGACCTGTAGGTATAAGTGTTTATTTATATTTAATATTAGGGATATTCATTCTGTCTTGCAAACTCATTGCAAGGTGTACGAAATGCATAGAACAAAACACACCCACAAAGCTTCTTGCAATTGATTGCAATCTTTCTACACCCAAACACATGTTAATACATGTTAGCAACGATGCAAAAACAAAAAAAAAACCCTGGACAGCTTTTTTGACATCTGTTGCTTTACATTTTACAGCTGTTTTATTTTGATGTTGCATTTCTGCAACATGTTTTCGCACTCTTGCAATTTTAGTACAGCATTTATACATTTCCTACACCTTGCCATGGTTTTGCAAGACTGTGAAAATATCCCTATTATTTAATGTGAACGCCGCAGTGATTTAATTAATTAATTGTTTGGAAATTATAAATAACAGTATGTTACCAAATATAAGCACATCTCTTGCACTGTCCTAAAACTGATATTGGCGGCGCATAACAAGTTTGGCATACACATTTGTCTTTGTAATACCATTTCTCTGTTTAGCATAATAATTATTATTTTATAAATCTCTTATAATATAATTATTAAATAATAGCAAATACTAAATATTTGTAGATATTATAAAGGTTTACGGGGTTTTTTATATTTATAAATTTGAACAGACTTTAATGAACAGAAAATATTAAATGTAAATTCAAATTCTTAGTAGTAATAGAGTAGTGCCAAGCTCGAATATAATATAAAAATATGAAAAATTATTTCCAAATCCAAATTAAACATTTAACAAAACAATTAATTACTAAACTTAAGGCATGTTACGTGAATTATATCAACTTGAAGTTATCACATCTCTTACTTTGAAGTTTCTG